GGCATTTCTCTTAATTAGTGAATCTCTGAAGGCTGTGCGTAATGGAAGAAGAGGAGTAGGTACATCAGATCACCTGGGGCTTTTTTTGTTGTTGTTTTTAAGAACCTGTCATCTTTTCAGTTGGAAATGCCACCCCCCTTTTCTGCTCAGTCTGATTGACCGCTTAGGTATGTCACAAAATGGTTGAGATTCACTGCTTTAATATTCTAGGATCTATCCTTGCATTAAACCAGAGCTAGGGTTTTATACCTGTACAACATTATATTATTCATTTCCACATAATTCTTTTTACCAAATTTCTCTTTAGCTTGATGTCATTATGGTATATTGAGGAAAATTATAATCATCAGCCTTATGATGACTTCTCGTTGCCTTTAATTTAAGTTTGTTGTTGGCCATTTTTGTTTTTGGTGGCTGGCCAATACAGGGATCTGAAACCCTTTATCTTGGTTTTACAAAGCAGCACTCTAACCAACTGAGCTAACTGGCCAGCATGGCCATTTTTATACGTTGAAGAATATAGGAAAAAACCATATGAGATAACCGTAGGTTTTCTTTGTAGTTTTGAAAAGCGTTGTTTATCCGCTATATACTTTCTGGGAAGACCTATGAGAGACGCTGTTCTCTGGTCTTAGTACCAGGAATAGTTTGTACTTCTATTGAGCAGCTAGAGGATTTTTATCTTACCAATGCTGAGTCATGTAATCAACTCCTTTTCCCTCTTTAAATGGCCTAATAGAAAGCACAGGGAAGGACAATTTATGGCTTACCTCTTGCGAGAATGCAGGACTTAATGATAAGCATTTTGCATTTTAATTTCATGTCAGGTTAAAATTTTTTTTATTCTTCCGATCCTCTTATTACTTACTTTCTCATTTAGTTGATTGTATCTAAAATTCTCTGCTTTTTAAAGTTTTATATTCTCCTTAGAATAAGACAGGATATAAATAATTAAAATTATATATAATATTTACCAATTTTGCTTTCCTGCTTTCTTTTTAACACCGAGAATAGTTTTATCTTAGTTTTGGGTTACCTATTCTTTGGAGGATCTTATTGAATTTATAAGGAAAAAGAAAAAAAAAAAAAACCTCACATACACACCTTGTATCCAGTTTTAGGGGACTTATGAGACTCCAGGAAACCCTATACCAAAGGCGTTGTTTATCCAGGGTACGTTATTTGTCAAATGTTTTTTTATGAAGTGGCCATATGTAATTACCTGAACTGTTGTCAAGCAAGCACCTCAGAGGATTCTGTTATAGGTGGACTAGATTTTGAGAAACACTCTTCTAAAAAAGATACAACAGTAGGGTCAGAAATTTAAAAATTGTTCACTTTTAATTCCACTAATATTTACTGATCAGTTAGTGTGTAACAGGCACTTTTTTGGGATGCATTGAGAAAGGGATTGAGGTCATTTTGCTCACCCTGCTTACAATAACAATATGTTTTTATTGTGCGAATTTTAAGACAGTTTTGTAAAGTTAGGTAGCTTCAGTTTGCTAGCATTTTGCTGTTTATAAGAAGTGTAGTTGGAAAAAAATCAGTAGCAAAAGAAAGACAGTAAAGTTTTTTAAGAATTGGGAAGAACACTGTTAAACTGTAGAGTATATGTGTTTGATATTTTTATATTTCAACCTTTCCTAAGGCATTAACAGTATTTAGAGTGAGTGGAATATATATCTTTAATTCTTCTCTACCCAATCAATATATAATGTACCCAATCAATATGACCAATATATAGTATATGGCATGTTGGATTGTGTGTAATATTACTGGCTGATTGAGATTATATATTTATTATCTCACTGCACTCCCATATATATTTCTCACTCCTACAGTTTACATTTAGTATGGCCAGAACTCTCATTACTTAATAGCATTACTATTTAAAAAATTTTATATTGAAAGTTTTTAATTTTGTGTGTTATAAGTATTATATGTCCACAGCTGTCTGAGGGGAAAGCAATTTCCCCGTAACCTTATCCTCACTTGCTACTTTTTCTTTTTATCCTGAAAAATTGGTGGATGTGCTTTAGTAGTCTGCCTTGCTTAATACGGCTCAGAAAAACATGACATAATTGCCTTCATGGAAGCAGGGTGAGGAGAATGACCTCAATTCCAGACAGACTCAGCTTTCCCCCTTTATCTTACTTGTTGCTTCAGGGTTTGATAGAGGTAGGGAGTAGATATTGGTGGCAGTGACAAAATGACAGGACTTTTTACCACTTGCTGGTGGAAGTACAAAGCTGTCATGCTTGAAAGCCATGAGTACAGCTTATGGAGTCTGTAAAAAAAAAATGTGAATAGAATGGTAGAGATATTTAGGATTGTTTTCACGTGTTATTTTATCATGAGCAAGGGAGAAATATTATTGTAATTAAGTCTGGTCAGCTCTTTTTCTCCTGAAAAAAAAAAATGAATATTCCTTAAAAAGTGATAGCATTTCTATTAGTGATAAGCCCAATTTTCCATTTGTTTCTACATCTCAATACTGCTCTTTTCCAAATGTCTATGAGTTGTAATATTCTAATATTTATTCTACTTTTTATGATGTAATATATGTTATATTTCTAAGACTGGGGTGTCTTTTTATTGTTTTGAATGCTTTTTTAAAAAAGGTCAGTGTTCAAATGAGTTTTCTTTCTTATATGAACTCTAACTCACAATTCTATGTTCTGTTTGTATTTCTCTAAGAGATGAGCATCTCTGAGTATTTTAGGTCTTTTTCCAGCCGTATGTGGGTTTTATTATCTCCTTATTTTTCTCTTATATAATATGGCCTGAGCTCTTTCCCCCCGCTAACATTTATTATTAGATAACTCATGTTTTAACTTTGTTGAAATTTACTGAAGTTCCTGAGGGGGCACACATTCAGGAGTACATAGAAGTACTCATCTTTCTTTCTTTCTTTTTTTTTTTTTTGGTGGCCGACCAGTACTGGGATCCAAACTCCTTACCTTGGTGTTAAAACACCACACTCCAACCAACTGAGCTATTTGGCCAGCACACAAGTGCCCATCTCTGAGATATAAAGAAAATAGTCTCTGAAGTTTCTTTTAATTTTCTTATTTCTCAGTGTACATATTATTTAGTGGAAAAGAAGAAAAATGCACTTATTTTTCCCCTTGCTTCTTGCCTTCATTCAGAAAAATAATCTGTTTTAGTTGCCACGTTACCTTTCTTACATTTTCCAAGATGATCTTGAAATATAGTTTGAAGCTACTTAATTATGATAGAAAAGGGTTTAATTATTTGATCTTTTATCAGTATTATATTTTATTGATATTGCTTTTTTGAAGTTTTAAGTGTAGAAAATTATTTTTTTTTGTCTTTTTGTCTTTTTCCGTGTCCGGCAATGGATCGCAACCCTCAGTGTTGCCCCCGTACCGGACCGGGGACCGGCAACGGTATTGCAACCCTCGGTGCCGCTCCCGCGCCTCGCTCAGCCAGTGAGCGGGAACCGGTCTGTATGTGGGATCCGAACCCTCGGGCGGGAGCGCCGCCGCGCTTCCCAAGCGGCACACTTATCCAGTGCGCCACCGGGCCGGCACCTTAAATTGTTTTTATAGTTTTTTTATCATTAAAAAATTACTGAAACAATGTGTGCTTAATTAGAAATAAACCAATTGCAAAATATAAAGTAGGTAATTTAAAACATTAACTTGAAATTTTCATTTTGCATAGTTATAATAACTAGAACATTCTTGAATAATGTTATTTATTTTACTCTATTTAATTTTCTACTTTGCAAAAAAAATTATTTTTGTTTTTGCCCTTATTATCCATGTACTTTATGCAAAGCATAATTAAATAGTTCTTTGTTGAGGATAGTCTACTTTCTTAATGACCTTCTTTATGGTCATTTTAAATTCTTCAGTCTCTTATGCCAGTTGTTTTTCTAGTCATTTAGAAAACCCTACTGATTCTACCTTCATGTTGCCTGTCACATCTGTACTCCTTTGCAGAGCTACTTCCATCAGGCATTGCCAGGCATTTCACTACATATCAAGGTGACGGCAACAGCTTCCCCAACTTCTGTGTCTTACACAATCAATTCTATCTACGTATTGCTGTTTTGCTAATTTTTTTAAAGTTCATTTCTCATCCTCTTATCTCCCTACTCAGATATCTCTGCTAGCATTTAAGGCCTTCTATCTTATGGCCCCAATTTGGCTTTTCTAGGTAACTTCTCACTGCTGTATTACTTTCCTTTCTGAGAATTTGCTCTTTGCAGAATATGCTGCAGTAGCTTTCCTCAACAGTGCTTTTATTTATAGTGTTCTTAAATTCAACATAATCTCTTTCTTCTTAAGTCTATCGAGAACTTTACTCTTATAGAATTTCCCACATTCTGCTTCCTCTTTTAGGTATTGCTACATACCTTTTAATACCTTGATTCTAGATTTTAAGGTCTTGCGGGTTCAAACTATCTGCCATAATGCCTTAATTATGTAAGAATTCAAATGTTAATTGAACTACAAATCTTACTTAATTGTATAATAATGAATTGTAATAAAACTAAAAGTTGTATTGATTTTGGAAAGTAGCCTTGAAATTACTATGTGGAATAAAGCCCTACTAAGGGCCTGTTTTCTTATAATTTTATGTATTTTTTACCCTTAAGTGTAATCTCAGTTAAATGAGGAGTCTGACTTTTTAATGCCCAGAGAACTGAGATTTTGCTATACCATAGTTCCATAGGGGATATGTTCCAAGACCCCCAGTGGATGCCTGAAACCTTGGACAGTGATGAACTCTATATATACTATGTTTTGTCTTATACATACATATCTATGATAAAGTTTAATTTTTAAATTAGGCAGAATAAGAGATTAACAACAATTAATAATAAAATAGAACAATTACAAATAAATTTATAAATTTAAATAGAACAATTTAAGACTGAATTATTCATTTCTGGAATTTTTCATTTAATATTTTTAGACTATAGTTGACTGCTGGTAACTATAACTGCAGAAAGCAAAAACCACGGATTACAGGGGACAACTGCATTTTATTTAGAGGATGAAAAAATAGACCACATACCTAAAAATGGTTTTACCATGGATGAGAAATACAGAATTATTATGAATGGCATTAAAGAATACCCATATAATTGTAAATAAGTCAATCTTTATAATAGGTTTGAACATTTGTTGGATAGTAGCTGGTAGAATAATGACCCCCTTAAATTAGCAAACGAAAAAGCAAATTTTTTCTTACATTGTTGAGCTCATCTTTGGTAAGTTTTAAAAATAATAGTTCTTATTTCTATCCGTTTGAAGAACTGACCCAATTAACTATTTAGAAATTGATACTTATGTGATTTATAGCATATAGATTTTTTTAAAATGCAGTTTAAGAAGGATCCTATATTGAGTTTACTGTTGCTTCTATTGCTTTTGCAATTTTAATTTTCATTCTAACAGGAAAAATTAGCATTAAGGCTCTTTTTGCGTGGTAAAATTATTTGAAATAGTGAAAATTTTACACATTGAGGCAAAGGCCATCATGAGGAAAATAAAAATATTTTATCTTTTCATAGAAAAAACATTTAATAAAAAATGTAAGCTTCTCACTGTCTTATTTAAACTGAAGTCAGTAGTTGCAAACCTATTTGTGACTTGATTTTGAAAGTTCAATTTTTAACACATAAACATTAGTTTACATATTATATGCTATTTAACACATTAAAAGCTATTAGAAGTTGTCTGGTGGGTATGAATTTTCTTTGTAAATCAATTGGTGCAAATCATTACAGATGAGCAAAAATGCTTGCTTATTGCTCCAGTGTCAGGTGTAGAAATAATAGCAGTTTAAAGGGCAATGTCATATTTGCCCTTTTATTTCTTATTTTGTTTGATTTCTTATTACAGAGAACAAGGTGGCATGAAAGCAGTTTAGTCAAATGTGCTAGAAATCTCTGATTTTATGCTGAATTCTTTGACATGCTTATAAACCCGAAAAGTAAAAATATTTAGAGCACAAGGTTTTTTTTTTGTTTTGTTTTGTTTTTAAATATGAAAACTCTAAAAATAGTCTAATTTTTATTAAGGTTATAAAACTAGATATTAAAATTTTAATTTATGCTTGGGAATCCAAGTTTAAAATTTATTTTTTTAAAAATTTAAATGAACATGTTAGGAGATATTCTGTGCCAAATGTATTTATTGAATGAATATTTTCTTAATACCTTTGTCCATGTAGTGTTAATTTCTCATCAGGGTTTTTAAATAGATAAGTTTTACTTGCGTATGCTACATTTTGACAAAATGAAGCATTTCTTTCATTCCATAAAACAGTAGAAAATAAGGCAGAAGGAAACTGGACCTTTGCCAAGATTTGACATTATGTTACCTTTATTATCAAAAGTAAGTCACTATTTAATTTGCCGTGTAACTTCAGAGAATGCAAGCTATTGCATGATGCTCATATCCCCAAGGATTATGGTATTCAGTAAAATAGATTGGGTGAGTCTCATTTATTTGAATAAAAGTAATATATTGTTGAATTGTTTGACATGCATTTTTCTAATTTAAAAATGAGTTGCTACTTGATTTAGTGAATACTGTGTTAAAAAACAGAATAAAGATCATTCAGCTAACCAATTACAATGTAGCAAGTATTTGCCTATTTTAGGTAACTTGTTGCTAATTTTCTTATTGAGTAATATTAGATGTCATTAATAGATTATTACATCATAACAATTGGAAAATATTTGTTCGATATGAGATTCCCAATCTTCATAATCTATACTTAAGAATAATAATTTCATAGTTTTCCAACATGAATTGAGGATTGGAGACAAAAATGTTTAAAATTAAATTAAGTGGTGGTAGAGTAGAAAATGTGACAAATTTATTGTTATTTTAATGATTTTCAGAGTGGAATAGAACATCTGTATTTTGAAATACTTGGTAGCTATAATTGCATAGGAACATTGTGAAAATTGTACTATAAATTTTCTATGTATCTAAAATTAGAAACAGTTGGCTTTGTTAGGCTTTTCTACAATGATATAAAGTCTCCCCCCACACCTGTATTCATATTTGAATAGTTAATGTCTATCAATCATTCTGAAAGGCTGAGTTGAATAAAGTTAGGAAATCAGTTTATTTTAATGCAGTGTTTTTTACCAGTATACTGTATTAATCCAGAGCATTTGGCTTAGACTCAAGCAAAGTGAGGAAGGAAGAAAGAGGCTGGTGCTATATTTTCTTCCTTCCTTTTATTGTCAGTTCATTTGTATATTATAGGCATGGTACCCTTGAACTTAGAAAATCAATCTTTTTTTTAATAGTAAGCTTGAATTTTAAAGTTTCCCTATTTTAGTGTGCATATACAGGGTTGTTTTTTGGTTCATGAATTTTAAAATCCTAATGCATCCTATGCTTTTTTTACATTCAAAAAAAAGAATAAAGTTTAATACATAGTTCATTATTTTTGATGCATCAAATATTATAGCAAATATGCTCTACCAGGAAATATAACATAGTGATACAGAAAATCCTGGATTGTTTTGAGCCCGTAATTTTGGTTTTTATGTTAAAATGCAATTCCGGTTGTCATCATATAAATAAATCTGTAGTTTGTGGCTCAGAAACAATATACCTTATTAAAAAAAAAAAAGGTTACCTATGTTGGTTACATTTTAATGTTATACACTGTTTTAAGGCTATGTATTTATTGTTTAGAAAATATGACTTACATTAATATCTTCTGATGGACATAATATTGACAAAATGTACATATGATATTACTTTAACAAACTGCCATGCAACAAATACATTAAGTAATGAGAAATTGAATATATATGACCTAATCTAATTGACATTCACATTGAAAATTTACAACATAATCAATACTTAAAGTATTTTTTCTTATATATGGCAGTAATTTCACTTTTTACAATTTAAACTTAAAACTATCCTGAATGTGGATTTGGTGAAACTTAACACTTTCCCCTAGTCTGTGACAACCTGAGGTACTAAACATTTCTCTCTTATTTCACTATCTTCAAAGGTGATTTTTTTGTTTCTTTTAGGATCTATCCAAGAGTTGTGTATTACAGCATTATTAGGCATGGGATCGGCTTCCACTATGGAAACAACTCGCTTTTTCATTTTACTTTTCAAGACCTTTTGAAATTTTTGTCTAGTGAACGCATATAATAGAGGGTGAAATATAGTTGTTCCATAACCCATGACTAGAAAACACAATCTTAATTTTACTAAAAGGTCACTTGGGCCTAAACATAAAATGGTGGTATTTAAAACAGAAATTGGTGTCCAGCAGAGAAGAAATGTAGAAATAATCAATAAAGACATTCTGAAGACTCTTTTTTGTCTTTCTCGTCGTTCACGGTGTCGTTTCACAGCTCGCCGGAGGGCAATTATTACAGAAACTGAAGTTCTTACACCAAAGACTACATTTCTCCCACCAGTGCTTTGTGACATGTCTGTAGTCTCATGTTGTGTAGTTAGAGAAATTGTCTTTTTCTTTCTTGTTTTCTTCTTCTGCCCTGTTGAAAATCTTGTGCCTATTCGGATATTAAGAGCCTGAAGTATTTTGGTATATGTGATTAACATTACTATAACAGTGAAAAAGAATATTGGGATCTGTACTAGCAGGTGATAATACATTCCCAGTTCAGTATAGTATTCATTTGTACTGACACACAAAAGTGTCTTGTTTTCCCATGTATTTCCACTGTGAAGACTGAAAAAATTTACCTCAATAAAAGGAATAAGGAAAGAGAAAAAAGAAAAAATCCAAATGGATATCATTAACATTACAGCTCTGCCCATTGTCAGAATTCGGTTTGCAGGTTTTACAGAGATGTCATATCTGTCCAAAGTGATAGCAAAAACGTTGATTGCTGTTGAGACACTTGCAAAAGATACACAAGCCTCGTGGAAACAGCAGATGAGAGCAGTGTTACTCTCCAGTGAAAGCAGAAGGATAACTATAGTTAGAGGAATACATCCCACACAAATTATTACATCAAGTACATGAAGATTCATTGTAATAATGTTACTGACAGAGTTGATTAAGTTGGATTTCATGCAGTAAAGTACCAATACGGTGAGGTTGCTGCCAAGTCCCAACACAATTTCTAACATAAGAAATCCGGTGAGAGACACTTGAAAGCTTAGTGGATATGATAGTGGTTGGTACATATTGGTGTTGATGTCATCAATGTCATCTCGCACTGTAATGTTAGATTCAGACTGCATGTTGATTGCCAGAATGGGAGAAAAACACATTCTTTTGGAGCAGTTGGTTTTTTCCCCTAGAAAGTGAAATAGAATATTTGATATTTGGCAATTTAAATGACTTATAAAACATGTGTTCTTCGTAAAATAAAAATTTTTATTGTGTACTTAATTTGATCATTAAGTTTGTAAACTACTAATGGAAAATGTAGAATTAAGTTACATCAAAGTTGCATTGTTTTGATATAAAGGGGAAATTGCATTGTTTTGATATAAAAGGAAATTTTCCTTTTGAAGAAATAACTGTATGGGGATTGTTCCCCTGTAGTGCAAAACTATTTAATATTCTTAAAGGGTTTTCCTCATTTGGAGTTTTCAAGCTTAATATTTAAGATAAAGTATATTTTTGCATAATAAAACTACACAGTATGCAAAAGTAACTTTAGCCCAGTGTTTTAAAACTTTACTTAAAAATGTTATGAGTAGGTAGGAGATAAATGCTATTTTAATATGCTCTAGCATAATTAGTGTAGGTGTAATTATTCCAATGAGATTTCAAATGAACAGGACAAGTGTTCATTTAAAATGATAAATGGTACAGAGTGCTAGTTTGTTTTAAACTACTTTATCCATATTGATTGAATTTCATATCCAGAAGTTAACAGTGTACTTGGAGATAGTTGGAGCCCTTTCCCACAGAAATAGGCAAATGATAAGTATTTCATACATCACAGTTAAAGTGTTCATTGAAATTTACAATTGGCAAACTTACAAAAATTGGAAGAAAAGGGACATTACGCTAAAGTAAAAAGCCACAAAGCTTGGTAAAAGAGCACTAATCACTCCTATAAATGATTTATTCTGTGATCAGACCCTCTGGTGTCTTGTGGAAGGAGAAAATGGAAATTTAATATCATACTAAGAAATAGCCATTTGTGAAGTGGTTTAAAATAATATTTATCAGTTGATTTTATTTAAACAGATTTTTTAAAGTAAAAAATGAAATTCTAGGGGAAAAGAGTTTGTGAAGCCCATTTTTGAAGGAAGCTTTTAGAGTTACACATTACTTATGGAACCTTTGTATACATACATCACCCAGTGTAAAATTTTGAAGAAAAATTAAAAAACAAAAACACTCTTTTGCTAATTTATACAAATCTATATTTTAATTATATAAGGGTTTGGAGTAATTTATAAAAATAATGTCTGATATTCTGGGCTAAAATATCACTAATCAGTATATTCAGTTTAAAATATGAAATCATACAACCAACTATATTTCACATTTCAAGTACAGCATTTCAGCTGCAAAATCATATTCAAACATAATTTATAAAGCTAATAATTTTCTGTGTTAAGCTTTCACTAGATGTTACCTTTGACAAGTTTTATAATACAATTTTATTTACGCATGTTATTTTTGGGATATTCAGAAACACAAATGATAACATTATTAATTTCTTTTGAGTTGGTATAAAGTATTACTAGAGGCATATTTATTTGAGTAAGTGAAGCTCTTAGCTAACACTGAAATCCTATAAAAATGAAAAATTTTAAGCGTGCCAAATTTTCTGAACTGACATTAAATATTAGCTCTTTGTCACATCAGTTAGATTTATAATTAAATAAGGCAAAAATGTCAAGTTAGATGATAATTAAGAAAATGCATCTCCTCTAAAGCAAGATTCTTTTCTCTTGAAAATGTTATTTAACAGTGTGCTGGGATGCATGCATCTTCTGACCTACCTGTTTGCTGTTGCCTTATGGGCCTTTTGGCTCACTATGGCAGTTTTTCACAAATTGATACATGATGTCATTGACAGACTTTGACATGCATTTTTACCTGACAACAGTGAAGTAGCTGTGTTTTATTTCATATCTTGTAGGAATTCTTTCATTTTTCTCTCCAATACTTCAACTGCATGAATTATGAGATTTAGTTGGCTGATGGATTTCTAAAGAGCAGTACATAGCATTTGTGTTTTTCTGCCTTAGAAAAGTCACGACCAAGAGAAAAACTTCCTCAAATGATAGAAATTATGTTTCCCTTTGAGGGAATATATGATAGTGTCTCTTTATTTTCCAGAATATGTGAAAATAAAAAAGGAAACATAAGGTTTCTAGCTTCTAAAATGTATTTAGACATCCTTTTGTTACAATTGTAAATCTGTTTCTATAGCAGTCCTCATTATTTTCAAATAATTTCTTGATCACCTAACTTGCTTTATATTATAAATCCAGTCCATGTTCTTTTTGATAAAAACCATCTGCTCTTTAATTTGGTTTGTTTTCATTAGAAGAAGATACAAATTGGTTATAAAACTCAGATGAAAAAGTCCATTAGTCATATCAATATGAATATTTGAATATTTAGTGCAGGAAACACTTGCTAAAGCTTCATTTTGCTTGCTGGCAAAATATGTCACTTTCTTTTTGAAAATCCATGTCTCATTATTTCTTCAAGATTCAGTTTCCACAGTTCTCGTATGTTAAAGTATAAACTCCTTCTTTCATAATCCTCACCATTTTGTTTTCAGGCTTTTACAGTTACATTGTTTTTGTTTTTGTGGTTATTTATAAAGCCTCTTCTTCCGATACTTTTGATATGTTATATTCCAGACATAATGTAGACCTAACTCCTTATAATGTCTTCAAATTTTGTGTGTTACAAGGATATCTTGCAGTTCGTGGTTCAGACAGCTAGGGAGATGCACAGTCAATTGCATTCTTCATATTGTTAGTTATAAATTCTGAATTAGCTGGTGTGGGCCCTTGTGAAAAGAAAAAAGAAATGGTTAAGAAATAGGGTTTCTAATAATTTCCAATTAATTGAAAGTTATTTTAGTTTTATTTTAAAAACATATAGTATTTGTTATTAAAACAAGCAAACTATTATTAGAACCACAGCCATATATGCATAAAATTTTCTTTATATAAAATATTCCCTTTTCCTAATAAAGATTGTATATATTATCTTGCAATAGAGTTAGCTTTTCTATAATTGCATTTGAAATGCTGTATTTTTTAAAAACTAATTTTTGCTCTCATTTTATAAGCTAACCTGTATTTTCCAAGATTATTAACAGTATACACTCAACATTCTGTCATTCCCTCTTGTCTTTGTAATAAATTTAACAGTTCCTGCTGTAAAAATATTGTAGCTTGCTTAATTATTAACGCATAGTTTGAATTTTAACTCATTAAAACAGATTCTATGATAAGATACTATAAATTTCCATTGATGAATTGTTCATGTGGTTGAAATGTAAAAGGTAATACAAAGATGTAGAAATGCAAATGAAATAATTTTCAATGAACATGCCCAATAATAAACTTAACATAAAATTGAGTAATAAATAACAGCCAAATAGTAAACCTGTTTCTTTTAAGACATATAAACATTTTCTGAACTTCTAAGAAAAACTGTACTTATGACATTAAGAATATTGAGTAAGCCCGAAGTGACTTAAAAGCTGGTGTCTTCGTAGTGAATTAACAAAGAATATTATTTGTATTTAACAATGCACACTAAAAAATTGCATTTAAACTATATCATGTGTTAAAAGAAATAGATCTAGAAAATACATGTTTAGCAATAAATAGAATTAAACAAATAAACTGTTAAAATTTAGGCTGAAATTTTTCAAAGTAATTTTACCCCACTATGCCGATTCAAAAGCAGCTGTATACTATAATAAGGAACACATCTTACCTCCGCTAAAGATTTGATAAATTCTTGATGTAGTTGAGGCTTTTCCAGTTTTGATTGATTCATTTTGTTCAGTTGTTAGTAGAGGACTGGGGGAAGAGGTTCATAAACATCTTTTCAAAAATGACCTTAATGAAAATATGTGTCTGTACTGTGCCATTGTTTCAGCAGTACTGCTAATGTATGGAACATGTAGTGCTGCTTAGAGGCTGCTGCAGTCTCTCACTCTTCCTACTGTGGAATCAATAAGCATGTGAAAATACATAATGAAGGTCATTTAACATACTGAAGCCTTCTTGTCTCCAGAGACAACATTTAGATTCAGTCTTTCTGAAAAGGAACGGCACTGCTTTTCAGAGGAAAGCTTGTTCTGGGCAGCTTTTGCCGAATGACAGCCTACCTTGTCGCTTCTCTCCACTGCAGAGAGATGCAGTGCATTCACTAATTTTGATTGGTCAGTTGTATTGGGCTTAAACTGTGCTTCATATGTATAGCAGGGATTCCCCCCTCCCCCCCACTGTTTTATGTAAGAATGGCTTTTTAAAAAAGGCTGAACTCATAAGTGGTTGTATGTTATTCTTAAATAAAATGAGTAAATTAGTGATTTAAAAATGTGTTTTCTATTCTGGTTTGTTGGTCATTTATGCCAAACATTAAAAAATGCAGGGAGGTGGGGGAGCAGGAATGATTTACATAGCAAAAAGTATATATTCTTTTTAAAGCCTTGATAATTGCATTTGAGAATATTGTTGTTGTACATACCCTTTTGGTTGAGATTCTTTGTTCTACAAATAGAAATTCACTGCATCTTTACAGTGAGCCACACTGAATTTCAACTAGTTTGTTTATATTCAAGTCATCTTCTCTGTGTATTCGAAATTTCTGTGAACATATCTAGGTGTTAAACATTGTCATGGCTTCAGTATTCATTCATTTAGGTATTCATTCATTGCATTTATTTAAAATATTAATCAGGTTGATCTAAGATGATTATATTCTAAAATATGTTTTTAAATTCCACTGCTAACAGCATAGTCTCAGTTTATAAAACTTTCATCATTTGCATTACTTTTGGAGATTACTTCTCGGTCTTCACATTTGGTTATCCTTTTACCTGGTTATTTGCCATAATGTTTTATTTCAATTGGCTATTTCAGTTCTTGACCTGGACACATTTTTTAGTGGGTTGCTATATCTTAAATATTACATTTAGCTTTATGCTAATGTTGTTGGTAAATATATGTGGTAAAGGAAAAATTAAGTTAGTTACATGTTTTCATACTAAAGCTAAATTATTTTAAGATAAATATGCTGTCAAAATAATACAAATGGTATAAGAATCTCAAAATATTGATTTAAAATGAAATATCTATTAATTTTGCTTACCTATATATAAGTTTTTGTTTGTTTTTTTTGGAGGCTGGCAAGTGTGGGGATCTGAACCCTTGACCTTGGTGTGATAACACCACACTCTAACAACTGAGCTTACTGGCCAGCTCTCTTCCTATAAATAAATTTTTATTCTCAAGAATGAGGTTACATTTTTTTAGACTTGAGTATATAAAGTGACTGGATTCTGTAACTTTTGACAAAATAAACATTGCAGATGGCTGGATCATTAGAATATTAATTATCACCTATTTTCATTATTTTAGGAATATTAGTGATCTTCATTTTCCAAAATGTTATATGCTAAGTTTTTTATTTGCAACTGGAATTTTTCTTTTATAATTTAGAAAAGAAATAGGCATTTTTATAATCTTTCGCTGGTAGTATTTAATCTTTATAGGGGAATGGCAGACTAGCATATGAGTCTTGAATTGCATTTCTGTGTAATTTAAGAGTAATATAAGTTTTATTGTGAATTTCTAAAATTTTCTGCCCAGCTTTGGGTGGCAAGACTTTGGTAATGCTTTATGAAATGTCCTTGTGCTATTATTCATGCATTTTGAAAGTTGGGGAAAAGGATCTTGTTAGAATGCCAGCCATGTTACACACAACATGCACACACACGCAGTTATTATTTTAAGCTTAAAACTAAAACCAGAGAAAACATGTTGGCATCAGTTGAAATGTGTGGTGGAGACAAGGAAATTATTAACATAGTAGAAATTTATATAGTGTTTTTCTGCCAAAGAGTTCAAGTGTTTGCTTATGTTTATTGTCAAAATATTCCCATGAAGTAGAAGAAACCAAAGCACAGAGAAATTTACTGACTTTAAAAAGTCTAGAAAGTTAGCAACACAGTCAGTGTTGGAAATCTGAAACCCTGCCTACTAGGTAATTGTTCCTCTCTCCTTGTAAAATAATGAAGGTACTTGGGACTTAGAATTGGATGATCTAGGTTTAGGCACTACTTGTTAGCTATATAACTTTTGGCAAATCAAGCTTTCTTTGGGTCATGGTATGACCAAAGATTCTTTTTGTTGAAGTATATTTCTGTACTTTAACTCTTTGTGAGATGTTTCCAAGTTATAAATCTGAGGTAGCAAAAAAGCTCAGGTCTGGACATTGCTCTTTATTTTCCATATAAGTGACTTGTGGTTAAGGATACAAAAGATATCGCATCTTTTTTTTATGTATACAATGCTTAGTATACTTTTATTTCTTTTTAAAAACCATAAATTGGTTTGTTGATTACAAGATACTATGAAATCTTAACAGGGTAATCCTAACTTCCGCTATTTTTAACAAATATGCATATATCTAAGCCACTGGGTTGAGAATCAGATTAAAATATTTTCATGCAAAAAAAACCCCAATTACATTTGTCAGAATTTACAAAGATCCACGTTTCCATAGTAACACAGATTTTCACACTTTTGCATTTCATATGTGTATTTAGTATATGTATATGTATTTTGCATTCATATATGATACTAATTTTGAAAAATTCTACAATTGGTGACTTAAAACCAAATTTTATGTTATAAAATAATAGGTTAATTTTTATGTAATTAATAAATTGGTAAAAAGGTTTGGCTTTCCTCATGATAACTAAGTAGTAGATATTCTAACCCCAAAATACAGCTTGGTTAAAATCCTTTTTCAAAAGTTGTGCTTTTCTTTTTAGTTATAAATATTTTCATTGCATATTTGTCTTAATTTCTAAGATTCTTGATATGGAGATTCTTTGATTTTAATTTTATATATTTGTCTTGTTACGTTTGGACAACTGTGACTGTGAGAAAGTAATTGATTGTTATTCTTATATTGCACTATTCATATCAAATCATTCTTACCCAGCTTGTGCCTAGTTCTGATGCCACATTTTTGATGATTCTAAAAAACTCAATCTTGTGAAATATTGAAATTAACCATAACTGAGAGTGCTTTGAAACTGTTTGCAAAATATGTATGCAAAAGCAGTTTCCAATTGCTGAAAATCACATTTTAAACTGTATTGCTTCAAGGGTGCTTTTTCAATGAATTCTTAATATAGTTAACTGTGAACTCTCTCTGATATGGAGCCCAGGGAAGAAAGGATTATTTCAGTTTAAAGCCAATTCAAAAATTTCGTTTGGCTTCTCAACTTTAAATTTCTTTCATAACAAATGTTTTATCAGAAAAATAGAAATGGACCATCTGCTAAAACCTCCATCCAGAGGGGAGTAGCCAAGGTAGTAGAGTCAACAACACTGGTGATTCATTTTCTATAAAAGAATAATTGAAAACTGATTATATTGGATAAAGTACATGCATCAGAATTGCATACTCAACAGACAGAAAATTTCACAAACCATTCTTCCCCATCCTCCCTACCTCACCTAAGTTGAGCAGTTGGGCATTTAACATTTTTTTTTTTCCACACTGTGTATTCGTAAGTCATTTGCCAGCACTGCATACATTATAAAAATAAATCTATGGCATTTCTTTCCATTTTCTCGATGAAACCTAGACTTTGGACCCTGTGACTATTACTACCATTTAACCTCCCCTTGTACTACTTGTTGGCATGTCTACTTTACCCCCACCTCCAATTTTCTGCTTGCTGTTCTGACTGACTTATATCCCACTTTGCATCCATAAATATTAAGGATTTTGTTGTTTTGCTCTTCTATTTTAATCAAAGAATTACACAAAGACATGTCTGTGTTTTGTTCCCCCACTGGTTTTTCTGTTGCTTCCTTTTCTTTGCATAATTCTCCCATTCTAAATTGTTATGCAGAATCAATCTCATTTCTGTGTCCTGAGGCCAGGTCAGTTGACCAGCTAGATTATATATTTAACAAAGCTATGTCAAGTTGCCTCTTCTGTCCTGTTAGGAGTCTTATGCTCTGTGAGAGACATAGCTGAATGGCTACCAATGATGTAATGGTCTATTATTGAAAGTATTTAGATACATAATGCTTTTGTAAGAAGGCTGCCATTCTTTATGTGTAGAACCAGTGAATGGTAGAATTCTAATGTAAGCTACCATTCCACTATTGACTAGTAACATCCACTATCATCCATTTGGGAAAATGGATACAATTAAAAAGTTCACTAATAGTTCTTAAAGACTGTGATCACTGGTAATTTTCTGCCAGGTATATTCAACAATATATCTTCAGTTACTGCTACCTTCTAGTCTCTATTTAGGGATATAATATCTACAAAAATTCCTGTTATTTTGATTGGTATTGCAGAGAATCTATGAGTCATTTTGGGGAGAATTGACATCTTAACAGTATTGAGGTTTCCAGCTTATGGACATGGTGTATCTATTATTTTTAGATATTTTTTTGATTTATTTTATCAGTGTTTTGCAGTTCTTAGTCTATAGATCCTGCATATATTTTGTTAGATTTGTACCTAATTATTTCATTTCTTTAGTGCTATTGAAGTAGCACCTAATTTTAAAAAGTTCAATTGTTTATTGTTAGTATATACAAATATGATTTTTTTTGTATATCGAACTTGTACCTTGGAACTTTATTAAAGTCATATATTAGTCTTGTGAGCTTTTTATTTTTTCGTGAATTTCATGGCATTTTCTATGTAGACAATATGGTCTGCAAATAGAGATAGTTTACTTTTCCTGAAACATGTGTGACTTATTTATTTTCTTGCCTTATTCTACTGCCTAGGACCTCTGGTATTAGGTTGAGTAGGAGTGTGTTGGGAGAAGCCATCCTGCATGAGCCTTGAGCAACCCTGAACGTTCCTGCTGGGTATGCTAAGAATGCAAAGACATGACTGTGTTTTACCTGGTCTGTTTCTCAGGGTTGTATTTGTAGCTAGCAACCTTCAAGGATGAAGTAATGACTTCCCAGAAAAAGAGCAGACTTGCTTTTGCTTGTTATAAAAATGGTAGATTTCCCAAGCCCGGTATTCTTCAGCTGTGGCATAAACCACATGAACGCGGTATACACAGCATCCAGTTAGGCCCCTCTGCCAGGGGTACTTGGAGG